GTCTCTCTCTCTCTCTCCCCCCTCTCTTCTCTCTCCTCTCTCTCTCCCCCCTCTTTCTCTCTCCTCTCTCTCTCCTCTCTCTCTCTCTCTCACTCCCCCTCTCTCTCTCTCTCTTTGAGTGTACAGTTAGAGGAAGGGATTATCTCCCCAACCCCTCGGCTTCTGCCTACAAATATCGCCCTTGTCGGCTCCTCATCCGGGATGCATATTTCGCTGCGCCCGCAACTGCGTCACAGAATTGGGGGTAAAAATTAAATGTGCAGAGGGCTTTTCGTCAGAACTCTGTTTATGAGTAAAGAGAGGCATCATGCCTACGCATGAAGCAGTCTGATGTGTGTGGAGGAAAAAAACTAAACAAAACCAAAAACCAACCGACAAACAAACAAACGAACAAACAGCAAGATAGACAGAAGGAACTGACGGAAAGTGGAGAAGCTGAAATGGGTGGTTGGTGGGTGCTCCGGTGAGGTTTGCTCCTTCTGTCCCATCAAGCATCTTAGTACTGTTACTGTCCTTATCTCTCTTCCTTCTTTAGTTGTGTTTGATGCTCTTTTGTGACAACTCTAATTCCGGCACTTGTATGACCTAATTGTGTTGGAAATGTCGCAAATTACTATAAACAACAAAGAGGAACCAAGTGATGTTGCCTTTTCAGCCATGTGCCTTAGTCTTGTAGACAAGAGAAAGTCGTCGATTTATTTTGCCGTCAGTTTATTTTGTCATAAGCTCTGAAAAAGAGCAGACGAAGCTGTTCTAGTAGCTTTTTCTCTGAGACCGTCCCCTGTACAGACGCCACTTAATCCCATTTCCCCCTTTGCGTTAAAAAAAAAATCATTAAATAAAAGACACTGTGTAAGACGGCCGCCAGGACCTGTCTAAGATAGCTACGTTTCTCCCCAGCGATGTGTGGCGGTCTTACACAATTTCGGTAGGTGGTTGGTGGGTGTTTTGGTGTGGTTTGCTGCTTCTTCTTTCCTATCCAACATCTAGCGGCTTGATCTCTCCTCCTTCTGTTTTATGTTTGTTACTTTCTTGAAACTCCTCTAATCTTCGGCACTTATATTATGACCATATTGTGTTGCAATTGCCGTGAAACTCTTACTAAAGCTAAACTAAAAGAAAATTGCGACTGTATAGTATAGATTGTGAAGCGCATAGAGCCTGCTGTTGAGCAGGGATTTGCGCTATATACAAATGCTATCTATTATTATCTATTATTATTATTATAAGATAGAGAGACGGAAACGACGAAGAGAAAGGAAAGGAAGAAACAAGTATGGCATACCCATGGCTCCATTCACTCTTCAGCCACCCGCCTGTCTCCTTGTCCCATCTCTGTGTCTTGGAACGTGGTGACTAATGAGAAAAGACGTTTTGCTTTACGAGTGACTTCTGTGAGCTAATGGACTCTGCTGCTTAAGGGACTCTTTTCGCATAAACTGCACGTGTACTTGGAGCTAGCTGTACGTGTCTCGTGAAAAGCCTTGAATGTTTTTTTCTAATTAGATGGGTGGTTTCTGTTTTGCCCACCACTCTCTGTATTTCTTTGTCTGTCTGTCTGTCTGTCTGTCTGTGTCGTTTTTCTTTTTCTGTCCCAAATTTGATGCAACGAAAAAGTATGTATACATATTTATGCCTATCTTGCTATCGTTAAATTAGAAAATTTGGGTGTGTTGAAGGCCTTGCCAGTATACAGTTTCCGCC